GTTCATACTTAAAGTCATGTGTTATTAATTCATGAAAACCTACAACTAATGGACCATTAACATACTTGATGAGGTATGGTGTAATTAAGAAATCAAGCATCAAAAGAATAATTTAATCTAGAGGTGGTGAATCAAGTATTTAATAGTTAAAAGAAAGATTGATGAGAATATTAAACAAATACTGTTATAGATTCTATAGATAGAGAATGTTTGATCATTAGGTATGATGAAGTAGCCTCCCTGAAAAAGGTCACATTGAACAATAATTCCTCATATGAACTTTGTAAATATCTATGGATATGGATTCTTGAGGTGTATTGACATTTCAGTTGATATTAAAAAATATAATTCTCATATTCAATGTCACTTAATATGATGTTTCAATAAAAATTGAAAACCATACAATTACCTAAAGAGACACATCCATTTAACTCAAATAGCATTACATTTCATCAAGCTAGAGATTTCATGGCAAAAAAAAAATTTACAATATATCCCAGATGCATCAATGAGTTGGCATTGAACCTTGAACCTAAAGGGAAGGAAATGATAAACAATGAAATGTGGTTATAAGAAAAGTAATTACAGTTAGCTTGATGAACTTGAAGGAATGGATACAACAGACAATATTTAAAGATGAATTTAAAAAGGGACAATAAACTAGAACACATATTTGTAATATAAAAAAATCCTCTTTATTTTCAATTATGGTAAAATATGCAAGTTTCTTTATTTGTTTTTCTATCTTAACAACCAAAACACAAAGCTAACAGTCACTTGAATAACATGTAAATCAACAAAAATAAACACATGAATAGAGTCTGTAAAAATAATATGTCTTAAGTCCAAATCTTCAAACTCATAGTTGAATGGAAACAAAATTAAAATTAGATAATAAAACAGATTCATGCTCATGTGACATAGAGTTTGATCATTTTCTCCATCATATTCATCTCTAGTTTCATTGCATCAACAATAACTATAATCAGAAAATTTTTGCATATATTTCAAAGGAAAATGATGAAAATTCACAATAAATTTTGAGAAATTAAGACTTTGGTATCTTTAGTTTAGTCTTTGTGTAAGGGAGAGATCTCAAAACAAACTTTACTTGTACAAGAATTGAGAGTAGAAAGCAAATTTGTTTGATGAAATAAGAAAGGATTTTGCACTTGGTGCATTGCCCTAGTGGCAAAGTGATCCTAGTAGGTAGAGTTGAGAATAAGGGTTGAGTTTAGAGAACCAGGCATAGAGGCCCTCTTTAAATAAGAGTTCAAGTTTTAAAAATTATTTTTTTAAAGTAACTAGGTTTGAGGCCTAGCCCTAATAAGCCCTATGAAAAAAGGCTCGGGCTCGAGTTCGGACGGTCCTTTAAACCCTAATAAACCCGATTATCTTAAATACACACACATATGCATACATATATTTGATTAATGATGACAAAATTTAGTTAATATTTATTGTAGGTGATGACGAAGAAGTTGCAATGATAATTGACATTGAATTTTCACTTCCATTTTCAACAAATGAAACTACATTTAAGGGATCTAATATTTTATTCTTAGATGATGAGGAGGAGTATTTAGATTTACACTGATGAAGATTTTAATCTTCATTTTAAATTTAAAATTTTAAATCTTTGTCAAATTTTATGTGAAACTTTGATTTGTTTCATATTAGATTTTAGAATATTCTATTTAAATAAAAATGTTGGATTTTTTTTAAAAGAGGGCTTAAGAGCTCAACCCTGAACCCTTTAAATAAGGGTTATGTCTCAAAATCAGGCTAGAGAGAGAGAAAGAGAGAGAGAGAGAGAGAATTTTGAGGATTCAAATAAAAGATTTTATCTTTTAACTTTGTAGAAGATGACTAATCTAAATCGATGGTCAAACTGTAATAAAAGTTATAAAATGAATATGGCAGTTTATAAATTTATAATTTTCACATTATGCAAAAAAATTAATGCAACTGTCCCATGTTAGGAAAAACTAAACACCATTTGATACCTCATTGTGCAACCATCCTATCTCATGTAACTACATTATTCACGTTTGACAAGTTAGTGTTAATTTAAAAAAAATTAAAATTCAACTTTAAATTTAAAGTTAATGTAGCTTGACAAGTTAAAATAATGGAGAGATTTTTAGAGTTGAGATATTTTTATATTTATTTTAAATTATGAGTTGTTAAAATCAAAATCAAAATTATACTAATATTTTGAAATCTTAAATTTTAAATTATGAGTAACTTCATGAAAGTTTAAAATTAAAATTTAAAATTACAGGTAAGAAGTTGGTCAGTGTACAAAATGGGGAGATTTTTCGGAGATGAGGATCCATACATAATTTGGTTATTATTTTATATTAGAAATTTAAAATTATAAATAAATAAGTTAATGTAAAGTTAAGATAATGTAGAGATATTTCATATTTGGTAGTTGAGGTAATTTTATTTATATTTAAGAATTAAAAATTAAATAAAGCAAAATTATATTAAAAATTATATTAAAAGTTGAGGATGCTGCTTGTGGTTCTACTAATATTTTTAAAATTTAAATTTAAATTTAGTCATAATTTCAGGAAATGTTTAAAATTAAAGTATCAAATTTTGCATAATTTTGAAAATGGAAATTTTAAAGTTAAAATTTAAAATTATGAGTAAGTAGTTGTAAAGTTTGGATAATGCAGGGATTTTTGGAGATGAGGAAGGCATAAATGATTTTCTTATTATTTTAAAATAAAAAATTTTGATATTGTAGATAAATAAGTTAATGAGAATTGAGATAATATAGAGATATTTGGAGGAGATAGTTTTATTTATATTTAAAAATTAATAAATAAATAAATCAAAATTATATTAGGAACATGTGTCATTATGACGATGTTACTCGTGGTTCAACTTTTATATATATATATATATATATATATATTAATTATATTATATTATATAGAGAGATATTTGGGAGATGTAGTTTTATTTATGCTTAAAAGCTAATAAATAAATAAATCAAAATTATATTTGAGACACATGTCATATCCAAGATGCTGACGTTTCTACTTTTAGATGGATAGATGGATGGATGGGTATATAATTTGCTTATATATACCAAGGTTCATTTGCAAGAATGATGCATCACTTGACTAAATAATATTTTAATTAATATTGTTGTCTTTCTAATTCACAATTCTATTAATATGATATTGCTTACTAAAAACAATTTCATACTTTAAATTATATATTTCTTTGCTTGATATCCTCTCAACAAGAAGATTGATTTATGTAGCAAAGAGTTGGCCTTTTGAGAAGATGATATTTCATGAAAGAAAAATAATAATTAAAAGATGTTTCACTTTTCATATTATATTCATAATATATATTGATAATTGTTTTATTTTTTGCAATATATGTTAGTGATACCCAATTTACTTAATTATTGTTGTTGGAGTGATGTCAAGATCTATTGAGGGTAAGAAGGATTTAACTCTTAAAGTTTTAGTATATTGTTAGACTCTACTTTATCATTTAATATTTACAATATTAATTCTTAATTATATTATCTTCTATCATCATGATGATAAATTAAAATAACATCAAAATCTTTATAATGTTAGTTATACTTTCCTAAACTTGTATACATTTATGAATTGGGGCACATGTCAAGCAAGTATTGTAAATTTTGATTTTTTTATTAAAAATCCACCAAACACAACTTTAAATATTATTTATAGAAAAATATTATTCACATATCTATAAAGTGTAATTTAGAACTAATTTATAATATCTCTAAATTTAATTTATGAGTAAATTATTTTTATTTAATAACAACTCATTCAAAATTTTAAAATAATTCTCATATTTATTTAACTTAATTTTTCTATATCCTGGGCATAGCATAGGCCATATACTAGTTATTATAAATAGGTGGTTGATTATGACAAAAAGAAGTTACTATAATTTGTAATCACTTCTTGATTTAATTTTGGACTTGTTTGTTTTAGATTTTTATGAAAAACTATTTATTTTATGAGATTTTATGAAATTTATTTAAAATTTTAAAAATAATTAAAATATAAAAGAAGCACATTTTTGATCATTTTGAAAAGCTATTTCAGGTAATTTTTAAAATTAATCTGACGCATAAATGAGAAAGGATTTTAAAAAAAATGTGGAGATGGATGAATGTATTATAAAATTTTAAAATAATTAAATAATAAATTATTTTATAAAATAGAAATGTATGACAATATTATAAAATATAAAAATAACTAACTAATATGCCATTAGAGTAAGTTCTTGAATCCGGCTTACTTAATTTTTTTACCAAAAGAATAAAAATAACTCTAATATTCACTTTTTTTTAAACTATCATTAGAAGTGTACCTTGAATTTTTTTTAACTTTATATAATATTTTATTTTAATTTTTTAATTTTATAAAAAAAATTTAACTACAGTACTATTAGTTTTTTTTAAATTTATGTTGAATTTTACAATATTGATTAAAAAATATCAAATATTTACATATTAAATCTAATTTTTTAAAAATAATAATGATTGAAATAAAAAATAATCATTTAAAATTAATAATTTTAAAAATTAAAAATTAAAAATATATTTTATAAAATTAAAGGACTAAATTTAAACATTATATAAAATTAAATAATTAAATATATATTTTAATTTTTTATTATTAAAATCAAACATAAAATAATATATGTTTTTTTATAAATTTTTTACAAAATAAATATTTTTTAATAAAATTTTAAATTATCTAAAAATATTATTTATTTTTTAATTTTAAACAAACTGTGGGTTATGTTTTTGATATTAAAAAAAAAAAAAAGCTGTTGGTTCAATATTTAAAAATTAAAAAAATAAAAATACGACGAAGTTCGGCTGCGGGTTAGGAATCCGGGTCCGCATGCCACGTCACCCCCAATACGGTGTCGTGGTTTTCTTTTTTCCTTTTAACGCCGATGGCCGAAGCGAGGCTGAGCAGCAAAACTGCAAAGAATTTCAAAACAAGACGGCAACTCTAACCCAACTTGCAAACTTTCCCATATTCTTTTCTGCTCCGGCATTCTGTTCATTGTCTTTCCGATTTTTGATGTATCCAGTTTTTCAATCCCCTTACGGAATTTTTCATCCTCTTCTCGATTGAGGTTTTTGTTGCTTCTTTTTCACGATTTTATTAATAATTTCTTTTGCTTTTTAATTTTGATTGCATTATAATTTCTTTTTGTAATATGGCTTTAGGGTTTTCCATTGGGTTGCATGTTACCAGGTCGGTATTTTTAGATAAAGTTAACGTTTGTTGTTCATTAATATTTATCCTTTCTGAGGATGATTTTTCACTTTTTTCTTTTTTAGTTTCCATTGTTATCGGTTTGAGACTAATAGCTCAATGTGAAACTCCTATCCTGGGATGAATTTAATAATTTACCATAATTTTTCTTTTTAAAAGGTTCCATCGTGAATTTTGTTTTACTTATTATTTATTTTGGGAGTAGATTGAGGGAATTGCATCCGATTCGTGTTCTTCGCTACCAGTCCAGCGAATTACATGCGAATTATTATCTTTATTATTTTATTATTATTATTATCATTATTTGAGATAAGTTAAATACATGTTATTTAGACGGAAGGAGCATCATTTCACTCTTAATCAATATGTTTTTGTTAATGTTGTCTGTGAAGGATGCTTACACATATTTCTTGGATAACATGTTTAAATACCATATGCCCAGTTATTATTATATAATAAATGTGTACCAATTCCTGTTCTTCTTCTTTCTCTTTCTAGCAGTTGAACTATTGTGAGGCACGCATACCAAGCAGATTAGTTGCTTGGGTAGTTAGAGTATCTGTTATTCAACATGCACATGGCAACACATGACATGGATCCTGATGTTGTTCGCTGGGGTCTACATCATCTTCTAGGTGTCTGTACACTTTCTAATAATGGTTCACCCAGTATCATAGCTCAATATGATCCGGATTCAGGTCAAGTTGAATATGTTAGAGAAGGCTTTTGTCATTATGATAATGTGGAGAATGATGAGGCAGTTGCTCGTGCTTATCAAGAAGAGTTATCACGAATTGATTCCATGGAAGCTTCTGGGTCATCAAATTCTGAGAATCAGCATGTTCGGGCATCAGTTCTTGCACAAGATTGGTGTTCTGATTCGAATAGATCTCATGACTCTGGTATTACAAACTTTGCATTGCATTTATCTGTTATTGTCTTCTTCCCATGACACATTTTGTATGGCAGTTACGATATCATGTCCACCATATGTTGGAAGTGACACCTATCAAAAAGCCATCGATGAACCAAACAATATGAAAGAAGTGGAGAATTATGGTCAAAGCGAAAAGGAAAATGATACAGTACATGAAATTGATATCTTTGGCTCGTCTTCTGGATCTGATGTACCTGTTTTTAATGAGGATTTGTGGCATTCCTTGGAAATATCAGATGAGTCTGTCCTTGATAGTGAAGTTGGTAAAAGATTGAATCAGATGGTTCCCATTCCTGTAAGTGTAACTAAATTGCCGTTGACATCTTTTCCCCGCTTTAAACTCAACATCTTTTCTCTTCTACTGTATATCCTGTTTATATTTGTATCGCTTCTTCTTTGGTCAATCATAATATGGTAAATGATGTTAAAGATTTCATTGTTGTTTTATAGAATTATCCCTCACCTTTTCTAGTCTCAAGAGATGTTTTTATTTGTTCTGTGGCTTAGCTTATTCTTTTTATCCACAGCTCATTAGTAGAGGAGGTTAACAAGTTCCAACATTTGCTGCTCTTCAATTTTATTTATTATCTGCTCGACCTTGTATTTTGGGAAGAATAAAATTAAAAGTAAGTGCTTTGTAAAGCCTTGATAAAGGAAACTTGACATACAACTATACTAATACTAATGCTTCAGTAAGCATTGATAAGGGGTGAATTCATTTACCAATATTTATTCGTGAAGATGGTTTAGCTTGTGATACCTGGTGGAATTGATATAGAACTAAATATTGAAGAAAGATAAATTAATACTATTGCTGTAATTTTATCCATGGATGCTAAATACCAGTCATATTTGTTCTCATGATGCCACAGGAATATGTGTTTTGAAACAGTAGGAAATCTGGCAGATAATCAAAACCGTCAGTTCTTTCTAAGATTTCAGTTTACCCAACGCATTAAATTAAAGTTTGAAAAGAAAGTGTGGCATGGAAGTGAACTATAGGAATGGTGGAAGATGAGAACAATCATCGATCATATTGAATTTTCTCTTACTTTTCTAAAATATTCACTTCATCTTTTAACCATATGGGAAGTAGAAATGAGTTACTGCTCAAACCGTTGGCCATTTTATGAATGTCGAGGATGAGTTTGATGTAAATGTAATTCAGTAGCAGTGTGCTTGCTGTTTGGTTTTCCCTGAAAGAAGGAAAACTGTGGATAAAACAGATTATGCAGTGATTTTACATTTTAAGTTTGCGTGACTGACAATTTAGGATACATATAGGATAAAACTTACCTACTCATAGTTTTTTTTTTTTTTTTTTTTTTTTGGCTTTCTTTTCTGTGACACATACCAGATTTGCATACTTTGTCGTATGTACTTTGTGCTTCTCTGGTAAAGTGTTCGTACTATATGATATAAATTGCTCTACTTGGGGTTCTTTTTTATTCTGTTGTTTTATCCTGCATACTCTCTTTTTATTTAGAGGCTTTATTGCATCAACTTTATGTGCCCTTTTGTGTGTAAATTCTTTCGGTTTACTTATTATTTCTTTCTGGACAAGCACTTAAAAAAAAAAAAAAAAAGAAATTTCTGATGTATAAGATGTGTATGACAGATGTAATATGTGGATCACTTAAGGAGTACCATTTTCTTTTATGTTATCTTATAAGGGTTTCGATGGAGTTTTAACTGGGACGATGATAATCACTCTTATATTCCTTCTTTGTACATGCAGCATATTCCTAAAATCAATGAAAAACTACCATCTGATGATGAACAAATATCAGATCACCAAAGGCTGTTAGATAGGTAATGAGTTATACTTTGTTTCAATCTCCACAGTTTGAGTTGTCTACTATACAGAATATGAAAAAAAAAAAAAATTTAATATGTATGTATTCGTATAAGTTTCAAGCCTTAGTGCTCCCCTCCTTCTCCACAGAATTCCGTTACTTTGTGTACCTTTCATTTATTGCAGTGTTATATGCATTGTCTTTAGTTGTGACTCCTTGGAATAATGCATGAACTGTCTCGTAACACTTCCAATCATATGTTATGTCAGGTCTGGTATGGGAAAAAAAAATATTTGTCTGTCCACTAGCTGATGGTGAGCCTTGTCATCAATAGTTGTATCTTCTAGATAATCACTTGTCTATGTTTTGACTCTAGGTTTTTCTATTGCCTTACACCCCAATTCACTAGAATTAAACAGCAAATCTAACATTTTCTACTGATATAAAGATCCCTTGTGAGTAAGCAATATAAATTTGAAGAAAGTATTTGGGTCTACTCATATATTTGATCTTAAACTCCTTTGTCAATTGTGTTCTCAATGATTTTATCCCCTCTAATCTGTGTCGGTGACAAATGATATAAAGGATTCTTAGAGCAACTCCTCGCCCCTTTTGTAAAGCAGTAGGAAGATAAAGATAATTGCAATCAGATATTTCAAGAATATTATCAATAGGTGAAGGTGTTACGTTGATCTTTTCAAGAGCAAATTGAGACGAGTCTAGTTGAGATGTTGGGTTCATTGATAGTGCACTTGAAATGGGCAGGTACAGTCATAAGTTAGCTTGGGTTCCCAATTCTGCACGTATATAATTATTTTTGACTGAATATTGTAATTTTGATTTATGCTAATAAAGAAATATTAGTTCATTTCTGTCAGAGTTGTTTCTTTCCGTTCCCTTTTACATTAAATTTGAGCCCTCCCAACTGTTTGTGATAACTGGGAATGGTGCTAGAGGGTAGTTTAATTGGAAGTCTTAACTATAAAAATTGATCCATTTTCTTTTCTATTGCCACTAAAACATATTAACCTCAAACCATGAGGGATGTAAATTCTGTTTCAGGCCATTGTTTTTTTTTTTTTTTTGGGAATGGAAACAGAGTCATATATATTCACAAAAGAATGAACAACAATCAAATCAAAAGGAAACAACAACCTAAATTCCCCTTCCGTCATCCACTACCTTAATGCAACAAGGTGGGGGTTGTTGGGCTTTTCATACTTATATTAAGCTTTTTGGGCATGTAAATCTGTGCAGAAGCTATATTTTATTAATGTTGTGGCTGTTGATCATGTAGTCTAATTTTAAATATTATGATCTTTCTCAGGTTGCAGTTATATGATCTGGTTGAGAATAAGGTTGAAGGAGATGGTAACTGCCAGGTTGGTTCTTATCTTTGTGTGTGGTTAGTATCTTTGTGAGATGCAAACTATGTTTCAGGGCTTATTTCCATCATTGGAAGAAACAATTTTGTTTGAATTTCGTTTGAAGTTTTGGTTATGTATGTAGCCTCCTACTTTCTTGGCTGCAAGTCTACAACTGTTCAATTACTTGGTACTTTCTAGTTACTTACTTTTAGAATTGTTGATATTTTATGTGGTATTGTAATTTAAGTGTTTAAATAAATAGAAGCTGATTTTTAGCAAATACCTGGCAATGTTAACAATTTTGCAGCTATATAATCAAAGGCTTTGACTACTATAAATCTTGTGTTTTTTCTAAAATTTACAAAGCATCAACATTAATGAATATGTGAATCTCTTACTGGTATGATAAATTGCATGTAATAAAGGACAGCCCCTGCAGCTAAGTTAAAGCTAATTGCCTTAGTTTTATATTCTTCCAGTTTCGTGCTTTGTCAGACCAGCTTTATCGCTCTTCAGAGCACCACAAATTTGTACGAGAGCAAATCATTAAACAGGTTTTGTGATTTTTATGAAGATAGACTACTATTAATACTCCTTTATGAGTTTTTATTATTGATACAATTGTTTCTATTTGTGCTTTCTCAGCTAAAGTCTCACCCAGAACTATATTCGGGTTATGTTCCTATGGCTTATAGTGATTATTTGAGGAAGATGGACAGGTATGCTGATACCTGTCATTATGCTCATCTTTTATAATGTACTGGTTTTGTCGAAGTTCTGTTTGCTAATACTTTTTATTATATGGCTGAAAAAGGAGTGGTGAATGGGGTGATCATGTCACGTTGCAGGCTGCTGCAGACTGGGTATGATGAAGCATTACTCTTTCTCCTCTTCTTGACTTCTATTCTTCTACTAATGATATGGTTGACTATGCACTTACTACCAAGAGTTCAAATTTTATTCAGCCAAGGGGTAAAAATACTTACAAAGTTGTCAGTTAAGAGCATCCAATATTCTAAAATGAGGAAAGGTGCACAAGTGCCTATATCGTTATTTAAGTTAGTGCAAGAGTGACCAATTTATTAACTAGCTCGGACGTCTATTATCACCTTCCTCCATCTTTGCCATGTGCGGCTAGGTTTGTCCGTTATCTCCGCCCGTCCACTTCGTCTTCATCTTCCATCTTCTTGAGTTGCTTCTATTACTCAGGAAGTGGAGCTTTCTACATCTGACTAGGATGGTGGAGTAGATGAGGGATAGAGTTGAGAACTTAACAATCAAACTCGGATAGATCGAGGAAGATACAAACTCTAGAACACAAACAGCTCAAATCCATGTGAGTGGTTGGGAATCTCTTGCAGCCCAATGGGGACAACCTTGACAGCTAGAGTGGTCTAGGTCCAACTCCGATGAGGACTCTAGGACCATTGGGTTAATAGGCATGTACCGGAGATCCTTGTTGCCTGTGACTCAAATGGGTCTCCTGAAATTCTCTTATTGCACTTTCAGTCACGACTTGTCCGACATTCTTCTCCTAGGTGATGTGAACTTCTCTTGGCTTGGCCCCATGAAACACACCCCTCTCAATGTCAACCCTGTTGCAGAACTTCTCCTAGCTTGGCATCAGAGTCTCATAGAAAGTGTTGCAGCTTCCAGAATCAATGTTCCTGCTGGAGCACACTGAGGTGGGGTTAGACCATGGTGAATTTGGGAACACAGCTCACTTTCCTTTTGGGACTTGTTTACATGAAATTAAAGGAGTTCATCCTCCAGACAAAAGGGATAAGGACCCTAGTAGAATAGTAAGGCTATGTGCTTGAAGTAGTGATGGACTTGTGCTATCAAGGGAGGGGGAGGATGCTGTCGGCAGCCACGATGTTTCAAGGGGTAGAGATGAGCATGGCAAGGGAGAGGCTGTTGTACAAGACTAGGAAAGAGGACATGTATTGCTTCACATTTGGGAACTTAGATTTGCTGGAAGTGCTGATTGCATTTGACAAGAATGAAGGAGACATGTCAGATTTTGTATTCCACATTAGCACAAATTGGTTAACCATTTGCCTAGGTGGACAGCATAGTGGTCAATCCTTGACCTATTTAATGTATTGGTCACTCTTGCACTAACTTAAATAACGTTATGGGCACTTGTGTGCCTTTCCTTATTTTAAAATAATGGATGCTGCTAGCTGATAACTTTGTGGGTATTTTTACCTCTTTGTCCAACTTTAATTTCTCTATTTTATAGGGATCAATAGGGATGAAATAAAAAAGACCAATGCAAATTTTTGCAAATAGGGATGAAATAAATCGTTCATAGTTGCTTGAAAGGTGGTTGGTGCATTAATGAAGTTGAAAGGCATGACTGTGAACTCATAGTGCCCAGAGTGAGTTTGAAATGCTGTTTTGTAAATATCATTAGGTGACATCTGAATTTGGTGGTATCCAGATCGCAGATCCAGTTTGGAGAAACAAGTTGCCCCGTGTAACTTATTTAATAACTCATCAATGTTGGGGATTAGAAACTTGTCTAGAATGGTAATGCTATTCAATTTTCGGTAATCTATGCAAAAATGCCATGAATCATCTTTCTTTGCGACTAGTAAGATTGGGCTAGCAAATGGATTGGAACTAGGCTGAATAAATTCCTTTTGTACTAATTCTTCAACTTGCCTCTCAATCTCAGTTTTTTCATAATGAGGATACTGATATGGTCATAAATTGGGAGGACTGGCTCCTAGTTGTAAGGGAATGGTATGAGAGTGATTTTTGAATGGTGGCAAATTTATGGGTGGGTTCTTTGAAAATGGCTGGGAATGCGACAAATAAAGGTTCTAGGTTGAAATATTGGGAAGATTTAGGTCAACGGAAGCTTGCATTGAATTAAATTGAGCACCTTTAGTAGTATTAGGGACTCCTTGTAACTTATACCTCTTGCCATTCACCCAAAAAATCATGAAGAGTTGATTCCAATTGGCTTGTACAGAATTGAGAGATGCAAGTCACTTAATATCGAGAACTAGATCAGCACCCTTTAGAGTGAAGGGGAAAAAAATTTCTTTAATAGTTAAACCTGTTCGTTCAACTTCAATATTTTTGTAGACTCGGTTGTACCGCACAATGCTACTGCCCCTTATTTGAACCCCAAAAGTAGAAATAGATTGGGTAAGTAGGTGATGCTCTTGAATTAGTGCATCAAAAATAAAATTGTGTAGACCCACTATCCACCAATAATGACACCTGTTTAATCAGCCGCTTAATTTCATCGCTGTGCCAGAGTTATTTCCTAGGATGGCATTTAGTGAAATTTTGGCTCCCTCAAGTTCATTTTCTTCAAGGCTGATGTCATCCAGAGGAGGAAAAATCTCCTCACCTTCCTCGGTGATTTCCATTAGAGAGAAGGAATTCCTACATTGATGCTTAGGCCAGAATTGCTCTCCATAATGGAAATAGAGACCCTTCTCCGTCCTGTGTAGGTGCTCAGCGTCCATGGAAGCTGGTTTGATCAAGTTAGCCGATGCTGGTTTGTGTGAAGGAGATGATGTAGAGGTTGGTGGACAATATGCATTAGACAACGCATTTGAAGGTTTGTGGGTCTGATCTTGGGGGAAGGCAATAGCGGGAATATTGAACTAGGTTTGGGTTTGGGTATAGGTCTAAAACGGGTTGGGTTTGGCTCCGATTTTTCCTTCAAATTCAAGTGCAAGGCTGAGCACTCAATAAATGCTTTTGGGCTTGTGTATTCAAATGTTTGAATGCAACTCTTCCTTCAGTCCATTGAGAAAAACTCCGAGAAGTTAGTGTTCAGGCCAATTCTTCACTCTGGCCGCACATTGAGCGAATTCCTGTGCTAAATTGACTTGTCAGATACTGCATAAATGTTTGTCTGGGTTTTGATATTTGGGTGGTCTGTAATTCTCTTGCAGACCCTTCACCAATTCATCCCAATATATCAAGGTACGATCTGAGTTTAACTATGAAAACAAATCTAAAGCATCCCCTTCTAATGACATTGAAGCTATGTCAACCTTCGATTCTTCTGGCGTATGATAATACTGAAAATATTTTTCAGCCTTGAGAATCCATCCACGAGGGTCTCCACCATTGAATTTGGGAAATTCAATTTTGGGTTGAGGTGGATGAGGCCCCTTATTGTAATAATAATTTAATTCTTCTTTGCTCTCTTCGTCCCAGTTACGGTGTCTATGTCGACTTTCTTGCGTTCTTCTATTTCTTTGCAGTGTAAACACTTTTAGTGCCTTTATTTTTCTTGTAAGATGTCAAGTTTCTCCAGTTTAGAAGAGATAAGAGCCAAATCGTGTGCGAGTGGGTTATGATTTTTTAGGGAAACATTGGTTGAGTTGTCAGGAGGATTGGTTTCTTGACCTATACATGTGGTTACCATGGCTCTGATGCCAAATTGATGGGTGCTCACGGTAGTAAAATAAAATAAGAAACAAATCTATTAAGATGGTATAGAACAAGAGTCTCGTTTTATACTTCTCTCAATAGTCACGCTCAAGAGAATCTCCAAAAAGTTTGAAAGACGGTTTTGTTGATGATGATATGCTAGCTTTTCAGTTGCTAATCATATTTATAAAGTTAAATGCAATATAAAATATTGAATAAAATCTAGATAATTGGATAACTAAATAAAATCTCCTAAAATCTAAAATACTAGATAAAATCCAAATGTATAACATACTGACTTAAATCTAAACAACTAAATAAAATCTACAGAAATCTAAATAAAAACTAAATAGAGGAAAATACTAAATAAAATACTAAATCAAATAATCTATCTTAATTTATCCTATTTTATCTTATGACGCTTCCTTCTTGAATAAGTCTTTATGGGCACACTATCTGGAATCTTATCGGTTGAATTTAAAACTCATGTTATCATCATGTTGCAATAGGCCAATGGGCTTGGCCAAATACACTAATACCATATATACTATCAAATGGGACCAATATTGAGCATGTTTCCGTGTAAACCCTTTAATTTGTAATCCTCAATGAAGGAAGGTCATGCTTTGTACAAGTTATAGGCTTCTTTTCCCTTTTGCTCTGAAATGCTCAGATTAGGAGGGAAGAAAATGATTCAATGATGGAGAGCATTTGAGAAGCCATATTTGGAAGACACCAGTACTAAAGCTTTGGTGTGATCCTTTTGCACTCCTTTCGATCTTAAAGCCAATTTTGATCCTTGTTGCCTGAGAGAACTTGAGACTAACAAAGTTTTCTGCTACAACTGACATCATCATTGACTCCGAATGTGATGTTTCTAGATGACCTAAGATTCATGCCATGTCCACACTCTTCAACTTGCTCATAGAAGTTTGCTTCCCTATTCTTTGGTTTTCAAAGTAATGGATAACTGGGAAGTCATTGTAGTAAGCGGGTATTCTGCTTTCCTACCATTTTGTTTTGGAGGTGGGAGACCAGAAGCTGAAGGTTAAACTGTGCAAGTGGTGGGAGGATCCACCTTATATGGTAATCTAGTGAAAAGCCTCTTGTCTACATATCTAGACAATGATATTAGATATTAGCTTAACAATGTATTTCCATTCTTAATTACTTATGTAAGTCAAATATGAAACTTTAATACAATTGAAATTAGAATTATCATGTTAATATTCAACGCTGGTTCCAAATTCAAATAGACAGCAATTATATTCTCATTTTAATGGTGTATCAGAATTATGTTAGTATTTTTATCTATGTATAATATTTGTGGTATTTCTGATGATATGAGATTATAATCATTTTTGGTTTAACTGATATAGTCATGTGTTGTTGCAGTATGGGGTCAAAATTTTTGTGATTACCTCTTTTAAGGATACATGTTACATTGAGATTCTTCCACAGATGCAAAGGTCTGAAAGAGGTAAGACTGTTAAATTGTTTTAATTATAAATTGTTATGCAGAGTGAATGCAAACAATAATGTCATTTTGTTTTTCAAAAACTCGGACAAAGTGTTTTTAATGAATAAATGTGATTACACACACACACACACACACACACACACACAAGTGAAACGTGCACGTGCATGTATTGTAATTGCAATTTTTAAATATTATTAATCAAACGACTTGGGTAAAATGTTTGAGTCCGGCTACTTTTAAGAATAATGGATGATAGTAAATGAACACTCAATCATTCACCATATTGGCATGACATTCTAATGATGGATTAAACCCAAAGAAAGAAGGAAACAAAGTAAAGCCTAGTAGTCACAGGTTCGATCCTACGCCCACTTGCTTTCAAGCTATTTCAGCTTGCCCCTATGCACTAAAAAAGGGTAAAAAGGAAAATGAAAAAGTTATAAGCCTAGACTGCTGAGAAGTGAACAAATTCCACTAAGCGATTTGGATTTAAATTTTTCTTTGATGATGCTTTTTTTATTTATAACATTTTGAGCAGCTTTCTTAGTATTATACGACTTTAAGACTTTTTTCTTTTTGGAGCTAGCAGTAGGTCTTGTCTTTCTTGCTGATTTCTGTAATTTTATGATAATGATCTCACTTGTCCTAGACCTAACTACTTCAAACAGAGACAACTTAAGGGATAAGAGACTTAAGCCTACAACAATTAATTCTCAATCAACCAAACTTAGAAAATTGAACATATGTCTTCCCTAAAGCACAAATTACATGTAGAGTGTGTTTGGATCCATGCAAATTGCGTTTCAGGGTGAATTTTTTCTTGCCATTTCTGGCTCCGTTCAATAAAATTTTGACTTCTGTTATTATTCATAATATTATTATTATTTAAAAAAAAAAACAGTTGACATTTGATTAGGCTTTCCTTCAACACAGCCTTTTTCCTTGACATTTGCTGTCTGGATCTGGTCGCAATAGTATCACATGTAGGAAGTATATGGTTTTTGCCGTCCTTTTATTTAACCTGTGTTGTGCATAATTTGAATGACATGTTTTAAAAGAGTTCTTTCACTTTAAGCTACATGTACTGAGTTTGGAGTTCCTGTTTGTGACTTGTGCAGTGATATTTCTCAGTTTTTGGGCAGAGGTTCATTACAATTCAATCTATCCTGAAGGAGGTGACATTTTTACATTGTTTCCCACGTATTTTCTTTCAATGCTAAATCATTTCTGGTTAACTCCCTTGAGTAATTTTTTCCAATTTATTGAGAGGTAAAACGGATATATATGTAAAGGAAAGAGCGAGACAATCTTGTGTTCTTCACAAGACTTTTATTTGAACCCTGAATCTAACTTGGGCCCTTTCCCTTGATTTCTCTCTAATCAGCAGGGTACTGTGTGCTACCAATATGTTTTATTTTATAATTTTTGCATGTGGTTCATGTTCAGAATTGCCTATATCCTGCTCGAAGAAAAAGAAGAGATGGTGGAATTTTGGTGGTTAGGATGAGTTCTAAGCCGAGCCAAATATTTCACACAACAGCTCCTTTTAAATTGCTGAGCCTTGGCTCTAATGCTTCGAATCATCAGTATGATCAGCTTTGTGATGGTTGGATCCTATTGCAGCTGCAATTTTATACTCTGGCGACGCCGCAGTATTAGGAATCCCCTGCAGTGTTGGCGATTCGATGTCCTACTCTCCTACAATTGTTTTGTACAGCATTTTTTTTTAAAATAATGATGGTGATAATAATATTATTTTATTGTACAGGACTTATTTATTCTGTATATACTTGATATATTTTATATCAGTATCTTTCTGTTTTAATGTTTTTCTGGGGGTAAAGGAAACCTAAGTCAAGAAATGCAGATATAAATTACAAAAGGATTGAGGTCATAGCTGTTCTGGACATTGTATAGAGCTATTGGAGTTGTTTGAAATTATTTTTATTTTATTATTTTAAGAATTGGTGTTTTGTAGAATATGTTTTGAAAACAAAAAAAGAGGTATTTTTTTTATTTTCTTTTATTCTTCAGAACAATTAAAAGTTATTTTTATTTTTTATTTTTTAGAATAATATTTTTTTTTGTTCTCTAAAACACTTTTTGAAAATATATTATTAGATAAATTTTTTTATTCTCTTATTTTGAAAAATGAAAAATTATTTTTAGAATAGGTTTCTAAACAAGTACATTATTTCCATCATCTGTGTTTTTTTATTCAAGGGTTAAAGTACAAAAATGTCTTCCAAATTTTTTTCATCATATTTGATATTTTAAACTTTTCTATTTCGGAGCAATGTCATTTTTTACGAAGGATCCAATTTCGCTCGCAATTGACATTGATTAATATTTGACCATTAAATTTTTTTTTTACTACAACATTGACACATGGCAAGTTTTTATTGGTCTAACTTTCTCAATGCTCTTCCCCTCTATCTCTGAACTAGCGTTCATCTTCTTCCTCCCTCTCAATTATCGCCTGTGCATCATTTGCTCCTCAAAACTCTCTGGAACTATGGGGTTTGCAACGTTTACGTCAGTATCATGAAGCTGTGGTAAAGAAAGGCTACTTCTATCATCTTCTGTGGTAACTGAGCCTCCATAGCTGGTCGCTGCACCAGCCACCTGTGCAACATGGGCCATGCCCCCCATTCACCTTGTTGGCGAAGCAAGGGAGGTCTTTAGACAAATACTGACTTGGAATGTACATAAAATCTTCGAACTTAGGAGTGCCTTGCTCTCAGTAAATTCATCGCAAGTATTTAAGAACTTACGCTGACTCCTTCATATGCGGTATATATGGTGTAACTAATCAATAATTTAGGACCTGAGGCTTTTAAACCCTCATCCTCATGGGGAAGAATTCAAAGATGATAAGAATGGTGAGGTAGGCGAAAGGGAAGCAGAAGCATGAGAGGACAATGGGAGGGGTGGAGATTGAACTAGTGAGGACGTTGAATGAATCGATCACTCTGTAACCTCTCCGTTTCACCCTCCCGCTCATACCCGAACCTGGACCCCTCTTCTTGCAGGCCGAGAATTGAGAGGTAGGAAGAACATGAATTTAACAGTAGATCGGAGTGGAAGATCACTGAGAAAGTTTGACCAATAAAAACTTGCCACGTGTAAATATTTTAGTCAGAAAAGCAAATACTTAACGTCCCAACATTAGTCATTGTTAACATAACCGTGGATAAAATCACACCCTTTTTAAAAAGCTTCAGGGTGATATAATATTGTTCTTAAAAAAAAAAACACGGTTAGGATATCCAGGGCCTCTAGCGACAAGGTTTCAGAACATTTTTAATCTTTAATTTTTTTTATTTAATGCAAAGGGTGCCAGCAAGAAAACTAATGCTTAATGTTTTGAATTTGGCTTTACTCCTCCGCACGCACAGTAGCTTAATTGCACAAGAAAGAAGATCTAAACTGTTCAGATTAATTTGGATGGTCGAAATTTAATGTTTTAAATTATAATTTCATATTTATTACAGTAAAATATTTATAAAAATTAAATTTTTTTAATAAATTTGGTCACCAATCTAAACAGTCTATGTTCATATTATCCAAAAAAATGTAATAATATTAGATTAGGTTAAATTGAAACCTTTTAAAAATTATACCTATCTTCAGTAGTTAAATTTTATTGAAAGGCACAAAAAATACAAACGTTAATATAAAAATATGAATATATTTGATTCAAAATTGTAATATTCAAAACTTGGGAGTGTCTAATAATGATTTCTTACAGTTACGTTAGTTGATATTAAGAGTGGTAATATTTTGTGAGAAATAAATATATGAGGAACACTTCATTTGATTTCTTTTTTTGGCCAGAGAAACACTTCATTTGATGAATCTATATATATATATATATATATATTATGAATTAATCGACACAACTTGGATGATTGGACTGTCACCTGAATGTAAAAACAGTTTGGTTTGACTCATTAATTTGTTTTAGGGATGGACTCGGCTTTGCTCCTCTTAGGAGGAGCTTCTGCTGCAAGTCCAAAGTCTGGACTATTCAGATTAAGTTTAGAGATAGTCCAAATTTAATATTTTATTTTTTATTAAAATAAAAAATTATAAATTTTTTAATAAATTTGATCATTAATTTAAACAGTTTAGTTTTAATATTAATGTTTCAAATTTAATATTAAATTTTTTTATAAATTTTATGAATTGACTATTTAAATTTATAGTTTAGATGTAAAATATTTAACCTGTAATTTTTTAAAAATATTTTTCAAAATATTTATTCATAGATATTTGCATTGTCTAGACTCTAGAGGATATTTGGATAGTTAATTTATAAAAAAAATTAATATTAAAATGGGATCATTCACATTAAATTTGCACTATTTAAAGTATATCACTATCCGAATTAATTATTAGATTTATTAAATTTTTTATAATTTTTATAATTTTTAATTTAAATAAAAAATAAAAAATAAAATATTAAATCAAGAACGTTCCTAAATCTAATTTGGATTATCCAAATTTTGGATGTGCAAGGGCGCTCCTCCTAGAAGGAGCAAAGCAGAGGATTGATTTGTTTTGGATCAGGTGATTTTGATAAAATTAAAATTAACTCTTTTTTTTTTTGTGCCAAAAGAATTGGAATGAACTTGAAACATAGAATAGTTAGATCATTTTGAGTCAATTTTTATTTTTTTTTCTACTCTTATTTTATGAATAAACTTTTTTATTTAATTTAGAAATATTAATGTCAACTTTTTTCTTAATTGTTATGGTAAAATTTTGAGTACATAATTTGTTTATTGATATTGTATGAATTAAGTTGTAGAAAAAAAGTGAAAACTCATTTGTTTTAAAAAGACAAATATATATATATATATGAAAAAATAATGAGGAAATTATACATTAGTATGTTATGACTGAACAACAATAAATAGTGAACGTTATTGTTAGTATTTTTAATATTTTATTATATGTATTTAAATATTATTTTTATGTAATTATTATGTTATCAGTTTGATTATTGGTATAGCAAATTAAATTATGAAAACTGTGACCTGTAATTTTTCTTATTTATCATCCAGTTCAATTTTTAAAAAATGTAAGGAAATTTTTTTTTTTTTTGGAATACAGGGACACGAAAAACCCATGTGAAAGGTGAACATGAATCAGGTTATGTTAGATTCTATAAGAGTCTACATCCTGGGGACAAATGATTAAAAATAATAAGATCAAGATTTTCCTAAGAAGCTTGTTGAGCTAGTATGTCTGCACATCTATTTGCTTCCATAAACGTATGGTCAAAGGTAATGACCTAGTCTTTGATGACAAATTTTCTAACTTTGTTGATAATTCTAGAGAGAGGATGGTTGTTAGTGAAATTATATTCGATAAGCGAGAGGGCTTCCACTGAATTAGAATATATATTGATTTTATTTAACTGTGCATTCCAACAAAGCTGTAGTCCTTCTAAAATGTCCAAGAGTTCTGCCATGGTGTTGGCTTGATAGCCAATGTATTTTAAAAAACTTTTGATCCAATTACCTTTATTGTCTCGTATGATTCTATCACAAGTTGCAGCTCTATTGGAGTTGACAGCCCTGTCAATGTCAAAACGAATCCAACCTGCTTCTAAAGGTCTCCATTGCGCCTCTAATCTTTTACAATCATGACTAAGAATATTAACTCTAGATTGAATCCTCATGTCGTTGGAGACTTGCTAATACTAGAGAAGGCAACGTTAACGTTTTGAATGATTTCCCCTAAATAGATTTTTTCACAACGCGCCTTCTAAATGTTCCAGCAAACTTGAGTGAAAAGCCTCTGCCAAGGAGTCTTTCTTGTATTTAGGTTTCCTGCCTTAGCTTTCATGTTCTAAATTATCAAATCCTATATAGAAAGGGAGAAGAAAGTATTAAGTTTAGAAGGTTTCACCAGTTTAACCTAAACATTGCAAGCTTCTAAGCAATCTCGCAGAATATGAGTTGAGGAATTAAGAGAATTGCATCCAAAAAAGCAAGTTTGTTAAAGAGGAGTACTCCCTTCAATATAAATAGATTTAAGATGAAGTTTGTCCCAAGCAGCTTTCCAAAGAAAGTACTTGATTTTTTTCGTAAGTAAGCCACTTCCAAATCCTTGACTAAATGTCAGAATTATTTGGATCCTTTTGAGAAGCCACAACCTTATA